CTCTAAAAACGGCTAAACTCGAATATTTCTAATTGTATATTTAGTGTTCGGAATTCGAGGTACTTGACGATCTCGGATATCTAGATTAATGTTATTAGTTAAATTTTCTTAATAAACAATTTTTAAATTTTTTTCAAAAAAGTTCTGATATAAGAGTACTAAAATTTTACATAATCGTAAAGAGAAAACATGTGTTGATGTGTTATTCGTTGCTCATTTGTTTTCTGAAATAAAAACAATTGAATGCTGTCTTATTATGGCAAACAAAATATTAAACAGCTTTTGTATAAAATGTTTTTTTATAAAATTGATACTTATATACCAAGATATATACCAGGGGTGGCTAAGCTCTTTGATCGTTCGAGCCATTTTTCGCGAGCCCCAATTAAATACGTATATATGAAAAAGATATGCAAAAAGAGTATTACAAAAATTTTTGTTACAGAATGTACATACATACATTTATCGAGAGCCACAAAAATAATCCTTCAAAGAGTCACAAATCCCCGTCAACGTCAATTTGTTCGACTTGGTTAACCTTATAACCAATACTCAACGGACTTTGGTTTTCGGCATTAACAGTTTCTCGAAAAACGAGATCATGACATGTAAGCTACTTTTTTTTTAACTCTTATAGTTTCCGAAATAGCCTATTTGGACATCGAATTTGAACCCCTGTACAGATAATATGTTATTATTGAAAACCTTGAACTACTGCCTTGGCTTGTAAGTAATGCATTTGTATTAAAAAAAACTTTACTTTATTTTAAGTACCAAAACCAATTTTATAAAATTCAACTTAATTTTAGCTTTAAACAGCTTTTATATTTCAATTCAATTTATCATAATTACTTTGTTTGATTATGCTATTCGATTAAACAAAAGGAAATAATGAAAGCATCCGTTTGCTATTGTCACCGTCAACATCAATGTTTATAATCTCCCTTTTACTAAAAGGGGGTTGTGAGGCGATTATTGTAGACCTCCGTGTTTACAACCTGCCCACCGTACCGTACTACAGTTATATTATAATGCCCAGACCGAATATGATTAATTAACCGACCCGGTTTCCATTACGTTGATCGATTTTGACGTTGGGAATTGACGGAATCGCCATCGACGCAAAGATAATAGGATATTGATAATAATAACATTCACGATAATAACTCTATCTATAAGTATTATCTTTAAGCACTTCTTTTTTGTTACAAAAAATTACAAAAAAAATTAAATTAAAATAATAAGCCACTTTGACGTAAAACTTGGGAAAGATGATTAAAACTTTAAGAATTAAACGCGTCTCGAGCTAATTATAGACATCTGTACCTTTTAAAGATCGTTTAAAATATCATATTAAAATTTAAATCATTTCGTGTTATTACAGTACTTTCAGTAACTCTTAATCTATCGGCAAAGATTGCTGATTTTGCCAGTATATGTGTTCATATGAGACCACACCAATTTAAACTTCAATGAGATCAACATAATCCAAAAATTCTCTTTAAACTCCGAACAAAACGCAAAAAGCACGAGAGATTTTCCTTTTAGGTAAGAGTTATTTCGAAAAAGCTTCTAGTTTAATGATGTTCTACAAGAAAGGAGTATATATAAACGAGCATCGTTACAAGCAAAACGATACGCCAAAGGTATGGATTCATGTAGTTTGGATATCGATGATAACCCACAAAGTAACGAATCAGTTCTTAAACCACATATAATAATTTGAAGGGAGGGAAAATATTTTATGTCTTACACAATGGTAAGAAGATGACAGGACATATACCAGGGGTGGGCATAACGCGACTGTCAAAATCAAAATACCTCGAACAATTTTATAGCAAAATACGTCGTGTTTACATCTACTTTTTTTCAAAGGATTGTTCATAAACATAAGATATATTCAATTTCTTTTTAATTAAAAGAACAACATTTATTAAATTTTTCATAAACATCAAAAACAATAAGATTTTCGTAAAGATCAGAAAAATTTAACCTAATTTGATATATCACACGATATATCTATCATAAAATTCATTCTTAAAAGCATAGATGACACGATTTTTTAGTGTTTTGTTTTCGGCCATCTTGTTTTTATAAAAATCTTGATATCTGCGGTATTATTACACGTAGATATGTCGAGTTTGGACTCATTTTACATAACTTTTAATTATCTACAGTAATATCTACGAATCATTAATTTTCGGCCATCTTGGATGTAATCAAAACTGTCAAAATCAAAATACCTCGAACAGTTTTATAGCAAAATACGTCCTGTTTAGATCCATTTTCTTCAAAGGATTGTCCATAAACATAAGATATATTCAATTTCTTTTTAATTAAAAGAACAACAATTATTAAATTTTTCATAAACATCAAAAACAATAAGATTTTCGTAAAGATCAGAAAAATTTAACCTAATTTGATATATCACACGATATATCTATCATAAAATTCATTCTTAAAAGCATAGATGACACGATTTTTTAGTGTTTTGTTTTCGGCCATCTTGTTTTTATAAAAATCTTGATATCTGCGGTATTATTACACCTAGATATGTCGAGTTTGGACTCATTTTACATAACTTTTAATTATCTACAGTAATATTTACGAATCATTAATTTTCGGCCATCTTGGATGTTATCAAAACTGTCAAAATCAAAATACCTCGAACAGTTTTATAGCAAAATACGTCGTCTTTAGATTCATTTTCTTCAAAGGATTGTTCATAAACATAAGATATATTCAATTTCTTTTTAATTAAAAAAACAACAATTATTAAATTTTTTATAAACATCAAAAACAATAAGATTTTCGTAAAGATCAGAAAAATTTAACCTAATTTGATATATCACACGATATATCTATCATAAAATTCATTCTTAAAAGCATAGATGACACGATTTTTTAGTGTTTTGTTTTCGGCCATCTTGTTTTTATAAAAATCTTGATATCTGCGGTATTATTACACCTAGATATGTCGAGTTTGGACTCATTTTGCATATTTTTTAATGATCTATCACAATATTTATGTACCATTTGTTTTCGGACATCTTGAATTTTACAAAAAATTTAAAAATCGAACTTTATTTTAAAGGATTTTTCAAAAAGATTCAAAACTTCTGGGTCTAGTGTTAGTTCTAATGGTAGTGTTAGGTTCAGTTTTAGTTTTAGAGATCCGTTATATCCAGGTTTTACTGTATTGTTATTACAGCGTTCTTCAGAGGTAGAATTTAGTAGGACGTAATTTTGAGTAAAGGTACTTTAATTTTATTACCCTCGTAAAATTAACTTTGAAATGTTCACAGCAAATAAATAATAAGCGCCCTCTTCACTTTCCGCCCGCAAATAAAAATACGATTTAACTTTGAATTCAAACTTCAAAGTTTAATCGAGAAAAATGTTTCTTTCATAAACAATTAAGTTAATACGTTCCTGTTTCTCGTTTATTTAAATAAAAAACCTACTTAACCTTAATTTCTACTTCAATTATCATTTCTTAACATAAATTTTTGATTAGAATCGATAAACAATTTACGTAAACTTTTTTACTATCTGGTTACGCGGTGCTAATGGGGTAAAGAGGGCGACTTTCCATTAACACGTTCAATTTAGCTCAACCCCTAGTTCGCGGTAATGGTTAAAGCAGGTACGATAATTGAGCGAGTAATTAACGAAACCATTCCACACTTTGACATTCTGTGGTAAACATCCAAACAGAACAAACATTGTATTTTAAAGTCTTAATTTATTTTTGAAATAAAATCATTTTTATTCTCCAATTTATTACGAAGTCTTAAATGAAAGTAAAACGAAAGATGGGAGAGAGTATTAAGTTAGCCTTGGTACGAATTTTTTTCGTGGGGGAAAATACAATATTGTGCTCCGGCGATATTTTCGTATGTAAAATTGATTTTATGCACAGTTCGATGGGTACTATATATCTGCTCGATTTTTCCAATATCAAAAAGCAATTTTTCCCATCGTCGATTCACCACCCGTCGATATTTCCTATAAAATACAGCGTATCTCGATCAAAAGCGTCCAAATATTTAATAAGCGGCCGAAACGTGATCATAATAAATTAATTTTAATGCGTGACAAAAAAACAACATTTTAAAAATTGCGTGCGATGCATATTAATGCATCATAGTTTTTTAAAACTTATATTGCACCATTTCAAACTAGGTTAATTTGTGGTGAAGAGATTCACAACGTAGTTTCTAGCGTAACATAGTTAGTTAGCAACTTTGTCCAACTGCAGATAAATCTTAAACGTCGCTGTAATTAAAATTGATTCAATAAACAACGATTACTGCAGAAATTAGTTCACTCCTTGTATTGAAACCGAATTAATCTTAACGCTTGAAGACCAAACAGAAAGCAAATGTTCCCAAAAGTTGGTTCAAATGTATTAGGCTGAAAGATTCCCTTTGAAAGAATGCTGCATTAATCCTTTGTCTGTGTATTGCTTTCGGGTAGTAATCAAATTCCGCTCGACGATTTTTTGTTAATTTAGACCTGTTGGATAAATTCTTCTTTTTTCCTTTTAAATGATTAAATTATTCGTTGCAATATATCCTATTTGATTCTGAAACTAAGTTCCTGCTTTATGATTCTTTTAATTTTTTGTATCTCATCCAAGCTGTAAAAGCTTTTGGGCAAGTTACCAAACTTATAATCGAAGTGCTTTGGGTCATAATCTCTTACGTTTAATATTGTTGTTGATAACACATTTCTTATTTCAAGCCTGTATCAGCTGTCAAAATATGTTATGATTATATTATACGGCTTAACAGGTTTATTTTGTAATTGTCGTTACTTAACGACATCGTTCGCCCAACGACTCCAATCTCTAACGACTTTTTGTAAAAACCGTATTTTGTAATTCGGTCGTTAGGAATTTGAACTGTAACGACAAAAATAAATGTTTTCATATCGGATAGTACACATTTGAACTAATGTTGGTCCATTTGAACATGGTTTGAACTAACAACATCAACCTAAAACCTGTGTACTTGTGTCACAGCCTGTATTCTCGCAAATATCAAAATAAAAAAAAAATAAAAATTATAATACTATAATTATAATAGAATATATTTAAAGAATGGCCGGGTAAGTACAAAATATTGTAATAAAGCAAAATGTTTTTGCTATTAAAAAAATATATTTTAGATTAGAGACACCAGCAAAAAGACGTAGAGTGAGAACCACTCAAAACCAATACGAACTATACATCAATATGTTGGAAACAAATAAATATTTTAGAGAGAACAAAGTTACTCCTGATCACCCAAATGAGCTCACCAAATGTTGGGAGGACTTAGTTAATAGTTTAAATTCTAGTGGCGGACCTCAGAAATCCTTAAATGAATGGAAGAGAGTAAATAATTATATAATGTTCTGGAATAAGTGTTTATTATTTTATTTTAGGTTTTCGTAGATTGGAAAAGCCAAGTCTGTAAAAGGGCAAGGATAATTAAAAACAGCTATACTGAGACAGGAAATAAAGGTGCATCAAAACGCGAACTTTCCGAAATTCAAAAAAACTACTATATCTGACAGGCGAGGTTGTTATAGAAGGAATGGAAGGTGTGCCAGAAATAGGAATAAATAATAATGAAAATATTGCAGTTGCTGTGGATCAAGAAAAAAATAAAGAGCAGCAAAAACTTTCAAACTCTTCAAAGAAAAAAAAAACTGATTCTAATACCCTTGAGGAAATAAACTTAAATCTTAAACAATTAGTAACACAATTTCTTGTCAAACATAAAGTTCTATTGTACTGTCCTTCAGGTGTACCTTCTACTGCATTCAACACAGGTGTCAGTAAGAAGGGCTGTAATAGATATCCTGAGTCCCCCAGCAACCAAGAACTCCTTTCTCCATTTCTGTAACGACTTGTTAGTTCCCTATAAATATTGCTCATCATCCATATTGCTGAATCGTGGACACTTCCCGGATATTTAGGACAAAGTGCCAATATTTTCAAATCTGAATCGCAAATTATTTGACAATTAATACTATAATAATTTTTATCTACAACTATTGAATTATCTATTCGTTATACAATTGATTTTTGACGGGTAATGACACTCATTACCCATGACAGACAAAGTGTTGAATAATGAGGCCATTATTCCACGCTTCTGACACTGCCTACTAATCAAAAAATAAAATATTAACAGAAATGACAGCTTTCTTATATTGAGGTTATGTCTGAAATGTCTATCAAGTTTATTTTTTTTTCGTTTTTTTGATTTTTTTTTCAAAATTAAATAGTTGTAGATAAAGTATAGTATTCAACTTGCGTATAATGGATGTTACCCACTCAGATTACAACACTCGCTCGCTTCTGTTGCAACTTCTTCTTCGTGGGTAACAGCCGCCATTATACGCTTGTTGAATAATATACTATTACGATTCAAGAAAACTGCACGTGGTGGAAATCTACCAAATACTGGAGGTACAATTGCGATGTGAGTTCCATCTATAACTCCTATTACCCCAGGAAAATTAAAGTTTTGGGAAAATCCATTCTTTATTGCAGTAATTTCCTCTAAAGTTGTTGGAAATTTAAGATATCTTCCCAAAAAATGGTGTAATATTACGTCAGTGATACTTTTTATGCATTTACTGACAGATGACTGAGATATTGAGCAACGGTTGTCTGTTCCTGCAGATTTTTGATAGCTTCATTGAGCATAAAAATGTAATGCTACAATAAATCGTAATGTTGTCGGTATTCTTGTAATTCTTGTACCGGCTTCAAGAAAAGGACTCAGCTCAAGAAAAAATTCATGGGCCAAATTTCCTGGAAATCTATACAATTTTCGAAAAATGTCATCTGGCGTTTCAAATGGGTTGCTCACATCTCTCAATCAACGCATATACAATTTATTTTCATTCCTAATATACATTAATACATAAAATTATGATATAATTAAATGTATATGTAGGTAGTCTCACGTTTTTTACCTTCTTTCTGCATCCATCACCTCACAATATATCTTTGATCCGGAAAAAAATAACTTGATTATTTCTGCTAATCACATAAACGACATACAAACGACTGCTATCTCAGTATCGTTACCTTAACGACCAAACCTAACCTCAAAGTCTTTAGGCAACGATGTGGTTAGAAGTTACAAAATACGAATTGTCGTTCATAAACGACAAACGACTCGTAACGACGTCGTTGAGAGTTACAAAATAGCCTGTAAGAACTACTAGCATTTCTGTCTAAAATATACAGTATGGTTCAAATTCGATGTCCGAATAGGCTAACTCGGAAACTATAAGAGTTAGAAAAAAAGTAGCTTACATGTCATGATCTCGTTTTTCGAGAAACTGCTAATGCCGAAAACCTTATAGCGCTATCGTCTTTTGTTTTTCCCCTTAGAGGCCAAAATTAAAAATATCGTAAAACCAACAAGTGCAATTATCTTGGTTATTAAGTTATATCTTAAGAACTAATTGAGATATTGTCCTGAGATTAAAAGCATTTTATAGGAAATTTAATTCATAACCGGTATGTTCAATGTCATATCTTCGTATTTTTAAACTTTGAGGTTATGATTTTTTGAATACAATCATAATTATACACAGAAGATTCAAAGACATCAATCTTTAAAATATTATATCTCAAGAACTAATTGAGTTAATGCAATGAGATAAAAAACATTTTATAGAAAATTTAATTTATATTAAGTATTTATAAGAATTTTTCGGTTTTAGATTTTGAGATATCATGAGAATTTTGGTTTTTTTAAACGGAAACAACCACTGATTATTCGCTTATTAAATTCGTTATTTTTTTCTGATTACAAAAATATAGGGTTCGACAGGTCTATTTCTTATTGTTTTAGAATAAAGCTAAAAATAAACTTTTTTTATAAAATTTCCATCTAGTGTCGTCGAGGAAATTAAATTTACAGTTTCCTGTAAGTTACGGGGCGGTAGGTAAAATCTAAAAAGTTAACAATTAAATACGAAGATAACTTCTGGTATTTAAAAACAAATAATTTTTTAATATGTAACATTCTAACATGTCAAACTTTTCAAAATTTTCGTAATTGATCTTAAAAACAGGATTTTTAAAGTGACACTTCAGAAAATTTTTGAATACAAACAAATGTTGCTATGTTTATTTGAATTAAAAAAAAACATATGAGCGCCATCTATCGATAATTTATTAAGTCATTTAAAAATAATATTAAATCGTAATAAAAAATGTGAAATAATGCAATCTATTCCAACTTTTGTGTAAAACATATATAAATTAAACAGTTCAACAAATATATTTGTTTCAAATATCAGAAATATGTTTTTTTAATTTTTAGTTATAGAACCGTAATTTACAGGAAACTGTAAATTTAATTTCTTCGACGACACTAAAAGAAAAGTTTATTTTTAGTTTTATTCTAAAACAATAAGAAATAGACCTGTCAAACCCTATATTTTTGTAATCAGAAAAAAATAACGAATTTATTAAGCGAATAATCAGTGGTTGTTTCCATTTAAAAAAACGAAAATTGTGATAATATCTCAAAATCTAAAACCGACAAAATTTTTTTGACTACGTCATCAAATTCTCTGTAAAAAAGTGTCCATATAATGTCTTAGCTATAATACTCCACCTATAATAATAACCAAGATAATTACATTTGCGGGTTTTACGATATTTTCAATTTTCGTCTCTAGCGGAAAAACAAAAGACGATAGCGCTATGAGGTTTACGGCATTAGCAGTTCCTCGAAAAACGAGATCATGACATGTTACTTTTCTTCTAACTCTTATAGTTTTCAAATTAGCCTATTCGGACATCGAATTTGAACCACCCTGTACATGCTTCCTAAGACATGCAGCTAATATTTTATTTCTGCCAATAATACTTTACTTCCACAAATAAGATTCTCTTTTGCAAAACAGATTTTAGACTTTGTCTAAAAATTTGCCCATGATATTTTGCTTCTGAACATGATATTTTGCCTTTAATATACTATTTTTCTGCCTTTAATATCAACCCATAATATTTTGAAAGCTAAGTATGGTGTATTATTCAGCTTTAAGTGCCTTATCTCTGAAAACATGTTCTTTACACAAGTTGATGCAGGGTAACCTCTCGAAATCCTCAAAGACCCATGTCTAAATCACTTGATTGAAATTAAAACGAACCTATATTTATTATAAGGTCATATTTCGAAGCAGGGATGACTGGACGAAGGGTTGGGTTGGGTTGACTGTGCCTATTGAGTGTTCTGGGAAAATATTGCAGAGGCTCATAAACAGAAGGATGGCGGTGGAGATAGAAGAAAGAGGAATATTAAGTCAAGAAAGGGAGGGGATCAACACATAGAGGCCTCTCTATAATGGTAATTCTAGATATAAGAAATACATTCAACTCAGCACCGTGGGGGAAGATAACGGAGGATGGAGGAGGGAGGATTCTCAAGAGGAGTAAAAAGAATTGTCAGATAATATCTCTCAGAAAGGAAGATAATATTTCCAGGAGGAAGAGAAGAGAGTACATGTGGTGTACCTCAAGGTTCAATATAGGAGCGACGTTCAAATAAAACTTACTCATTTTGTCATGAAGAATAGCATAGTGATGAAAAAAATATACAGGGTGTCCCACCTAAGTTGCCTCGGTCCATAGCCGAATTATGATTGAGTTTTTCAAAAAATGTTTCAAATAAAAGTTGAATTGAATCATATTGTACATATTTTAAAATTAGTTTCAGTAATGGCTTACTTCCGCTTCTACCGGAAATGGATATCAACTTTGTTATTTTAAATGGAACATCCTGTATATTATTGCATTTTTGGATTCCTCGTGAAATTTTAATGGTACTTTGTTAAGGATAGCTTAGGTCTAACTGGTATCGTTTTTGAATTATATGACGATTTTCGAAAAATATGACATTTGCAGCGTCTTATAAATTTGGCAATATTGCCGAAACTGTGAAAGCTAGAAAGATTTGGTTTTCTGTTTTGTATTAACAATAAAAGAGCACACTTAATTTTTTTAAATGGCACCCCCCATATTTTATTACTTAGTCGTCTTCGGCGTCTCATTTTACATCTTTTATATTCCATATGTCCTATGCCTAACATTAATAGTTTGAGAAATAATTAGGGTTTTTTGAAAAATGCTCACATATCCTATCGATATTAACCTAGTGTGCCATGGAAAACAAATGTTTAATGACTTATTGATAAACGTCAAAGTCTAATTTAGGTTGTTTGATGCTTGTGAGTCTAAAACCAGTTAAAATGGATATTAATAACGTAAATAATGTTTATACAAATGAAGAAATCCATAATTTATTTTTTGTGCACGAAAAGTGCGACAAAGTTCTTAGTAGAACTTGCAGAATGTTTAATGAAAATTATCCACATTTATCTCCGATGACAAAAGGTAAATTTAGAGGAATAGAAGCAAATTTTTTGCATTTTGGACGAATTAATCACGTGTTAAACTGACCAAAAAATGTAGTAGATAATGCAACGGAAGAGGTGAATACCTTGGCTTATTTCGAGCCCAGTCCCAACACCTCAATTCGAGCTGCCAAAGAAGATCTGGGAATCATACTACGAACTTTGTCGCGCTTTTCATGCAAAAAAAATAAATTAAGAATTTCTTGATTTGTGTAAATATTACTTTCGTTATTGTTATCGATTTTAACTCGTTTCAGTACTAATATTAAGGGACATAACAGATAATTATTAGCTCACATGCATCAAGTGACGTAAACAAGTGAGTCTTTGACAAGAACTCATTGAGAAGGCTTGTTTTTCATGGCACACTAGGCTAAATATCCATATGATATGTGTGCATTTTTCAAAAAACCCTAATTATCTCCCAAACTATTAATATTAGGTATGGGACATATGGGATATAAAAGATGTAGAATGAGACACCGAAGACGACTAAGAAATAAAATATGGGGGGTGCCATTTAAAAAAATGAAGTTATGGTACTTCCAAATTTTGAAAAGTTAACGTGCCATAGTAAAGTGACCAAACGTTCTAGACAGCAGTTCTCGGCACCAAAACATACTCCATCATGTTGCTGAAGCATGTTCTCAATCCTAAATTGATATCCCGAAAATCGAGTGTTTTCTGATTTTTTGAACAAATGTCTGCTGGAGCAGATTTTTCTGGAAAAATTCGAATAACTCGAGAACGGTCGAATCAAATTGCAAAAAGGAAAGTTATTTATAAACCTTGAAAACAGACAAATCCAAATATGTAAAAATATACAGGTGTTCCATTTAAAAAAATTAAGTTGGTGGCGACTTCCGGTATAACCGGAAGTGCAAGAAATCTGAAAATAATTTAGACGAAGAGATCGTAATTGATAATACTTAAGTTTGAATTCTCAAATTTTTATTTTCGCCAGAACCCCAGAAACGTCTAATGACCGGTCTCGCTGAGACACCTGTGTATTACATCAGCTCCCAATAGTTCGCATCTTCGTCTAACGATTTGTTTCTGACATGATATTTTTTAGCCATTGCACATCTTATATCTTCTAAAATGTTTTGCTTTTTGGCATGACATCTTGTTTCTGCGAATAATATTTTGAATCTGAGCATAACGTTTTATTTCTTTACACCTTTCTAAGATATTTGTTTCTCTTAGGATATTTTGTTACTATGTGACAAGTAATTAATGGAGAAAAGCTTGTAAGGTTTCACAGAAAGCTAAAATACAAGGGCTGCGGATGTGTCTAAAATCATCGTATCAGCACAAAGGTTTATATTGGGGTGACAACGAAATATATTTCAAATGGATATAGTTACAACCCTACAAAGACAGAAGAGACTAAATTACAAGTAATGTAGGCAACTTTTTCACCATTTGAAAAAACTCAAGGTAAGGATTTCATGGCGAATTCATTCCATCAAACAAAATTTGTTATCTGCTTTATCAACATTTAATGAGACATGTTAATGATCGATTACAGTCATTCAGGATCAAATTAATGCCAGGATTGACAAAAAAAACAAGATTCGATGCACTTGTTAACATTATAAATACAAAAATGTATAAACTTTTTTGGAATAATTAAAGAATACCTGTCCCACTTAAAAATCGATGATTTTTTTTTAATCGGTAGGAAATGACTCAAAAGATGTGTTAATGATAAAAAAAAAGTGCGGAAAAGTGTAGTACTTACCGAAAAATCACTTTAAAGTTGCGATNATTGCTTTTAACTTCCAAAAAGAAACGTCAAATCGCAACTTTAAAGTGATTTTTCGGTAAGTACTACACTTTTCCGCACTTTTTTTTATCATTAACACATCTTTTGAGTCATTTCCTACCGATTAAAAAAAAATTCATCGATTTTTAAGAGGGACAGCTAATCTTAATATATGCCACTTTTTTATATACAGACTTAAAATTAGATAATAAATCATGTAATTTTTTATACAAGCTTACCTTTAGCTTAACACAGAAATAAATTTGCTTAGAACCCAACTTTAAAAGCAATACCGATGTAAACTTTATAATCAACTTTTCTAAGAGTCCTTTTTTGAATTAAAATCGACACGATTTCCCTTTTAAAAGGGTTTCTCGCGTGATATATCGCGTAATTTCCCTAATAACAACGTACAACCTCCCCGAATGGTAGGCAACGACGCACTGAAAGCTGAAAGCGCCACTGAAAATTTATCCCGGCTGCGTTGAATTCGTAAAACCCAAAGTTGCGCGAAACGAAACGGAAATTCACGAAATAAAAAGCTTCCATAAAAAATTTAAACATTAAAAAAAAAATTATTATTAATCTTATAAATCAATTTGATTGATTGAAATTTTATGATTGAAATTGTCAATCAAATTTTAATTAATTTTAATTTTTTTTGTTGGTTTTTTAAGGAAGAAGAAAAAAGTTATTAATGACTCACCTTATTAAAGTGAATTCGAACATATGGAGGTGAAGTTCTTCGCGTTTTGGTTGTTGACGCTGTGTTGTTTGATGGAAAAACCGAATTCATCATTTGAGCACGTCCACCGGAAACAAAGCGATTCCCTCAATAAAGCGGCCGTTGTTACGAATTCTTTTGAATGCACCAACATTGGATTGTAAGTCATGTTTCTTTCTACAAAAAAAAAAATGAAAAATAACTCAACGTTAAATAGAAATATTTTAAAATGTGGTGGAAGTGTCGCCGACGCAGCCATAGCAGCGCTTTTTTGTGAGGGCGTTTCAAATCCGCAAAGTATGGGGTTAGGAGGTGGTTTTCTTTTGACCATTTTTAAGAAATCTTCAGGAACAGTTCAAGTTTTAAACGCTCGGGAAAATGCTCCGTATAAAGCTCATAAAGATATGTTTAATGAATGTGGTTCGGAAAACGGTAAGTTAATTTTTTTTGTACAAAGATTATTGTAAAATGTACTAAATTTGCATAAAAAATTGTATTCAATAAAACAAGTATCGTTTTTTACGATATCTAAAGCCTACTATCTATCAGTCATCTCAAAATTTAAAGTCGAGGTAATAAAGTTTGGCAGTTCCTGGCTTTTGTTGACCTCTGTTAGTTAAGTGATGGTTGATCTCATATTTTTTCCAAGCGTGAAATAATGTCACTCCCATTTCACGCTTCCCATCGATTTTCGAGCAATATTTCCTCTTTATTGCTGCAAATCCGGACTCAAATAAATCGCAAAAGGAATGAAAAAATCTTATAATTTCCAAAATCGCACTCTTTTTTTAATGTAGACTTCTCGGCAAAGTTCTGGAAAATAAAGTTGAACCGTTTAATTATAAAACTAAGGAATGTTATAAACGGAATTTATGAACACCCCAGAATGTTGAGCTGGGCTAGTTGCATCTAAGCACTTGTGTAATTCACAAGAGGCGTTCTTTTATAATTTAAGTTTCATTAATAACTTATTCTCTCTGTTAATACGAATTTTCTGAGTACAAGTCAAAATTATTCGACTTCACTTTTAAACTAATTAATCTCAGGGTACTAAGAAAAATAGTATATTATAATACGAATATAGTATATTATAAATGAGGGCTATTTATAGAGATATGTGAATATGTGAGATATGATTCCATAAATTAAATTTTTTTAAAGAAATGTTTGAATAAGATTTAAACGTCAATGTGACACAAATTCAATGTTACCAACTGTAACCAACTTCACAACAATTTGTCAAAATTAAATGTCAATTTTATGAAACGTCATGTTCCTTTTTACGAAAATTAATTAATTTTAGCCTAATTCATACGAAAAAAGTAATTTTGTTTTCTAAAACTCATCTATAAGGTATATATTATAAGGATAAAATTGTTTAACGACATCCATGAAGGATTTAATTTATCGCAGTTAACACTTTGTTAAGATTTATCACGTAGTTAAGACGAAGTCTTATACAACATAATGTGGTAAAGATACAAGAAGTTCATCTGCGCCACATAGGATACATACTCCCTCTATGAATGTGTAGCATAAATAGTGAACAAGGGTTACAAATTACCTTAAATAATATGATGTTAATTTCATCATAACTATAATAAGAAGAGGAGCGTGTAACAAAGAAAATGTAGGAAAAAAATGTTTGAACCCTCTTTTTGGTGGATGAATTTGTTCTTTATGAACCTGAAAAACGTATTCTATTAAAATTTTTGACACGTTGATCAGTTACACCAACTAAAATTAGATACAAAAGGATATATCTGAAGTTGGCGTTTTTGACATAATAAAAAATGGGAAAAAAATCATGATTGAAAAGAGATTGAAGAAAGTGTTTCGGACAAAAAATGTTCTTTATCAATCTAAAGACATATTCCATAAATAATTTTAATACATTGATTTGGTTAGAAAGTAAATGTTTCTGAAATTGGTGTTGTTGGCATAAAAATTAAATAAAATTCCGAGAATGAAAAGAGATGGAAGAAAATGTTTCGGACAAAAAATGTTCCTTATCAACCTAAAGACATATTCCAAAAACATTTGTAACACATTGATCAGTAATACCAATTTTATTTGGTTAGAAAATAAATATTTCTGAAATTGACGTTTTTGGCATAAAAATCAGATAAAATTCCGAGAATGAAAAGAGATGGAAGAAAATGTTTCGGACAAAAAATGTTCCTTATCAACTTAAAGACATATTCCAAAAACATTTGTAACACATTGATCAGTAATACCAATTTTATTTGGTTAGAAAATAAATATTTCTGAAATTGACGTTTTTGGCATAAAAATCAGATAAAATTCCGAGAATGAAAAGAGATGGAAGAAAATGTTTCGGACAAAAAATGTTCCTTATCAACTTAAAGACATATTCCAAAAACATTTGTAACACATTGATCAGTAATACCAATTTTATTTGGTTAGAAAATAAATATTTCTGAAATTGACGTTTTTGGCATAAAAATCAGATAAAATTCCGAGAATGAAAAGAGATGGAAGAAAATGTTTCGGACAAAAAATGTTCCTTATCAACTTAAAGACATATCCCAAAAACATTTGTAACACATTGATCAGTAATACCAATTTTATTTGGTTAGAAAATAAATATTTCTGAAATTGACGTTTTTGGCATAAAAATTAGATAAAATTCCGAGAATGAAAAGAGATGGAAGAAAATGTTTCAGACAAAAAATGTTCCTTATCAACCTAAAGACATATTCCATAAATAATTGTAATACATTGATCAGTTACACCAACCTTATTTGATTAGAAATTGGCGTTTTTGGCATAAAGATAGAATAAAATTCCAAGAATGAAAAGAGATGGAAGGCATTTTATATAGAATTTATATCTAACCAGTTTCGGCTCTTGGCCATCTTCAGACCCTCTACTAATAGATTAACATCTCTCATCTTATCCATTTTACAAACAAGTTTCTTAATATTTTTTTTGTTAAAAAAGATCACATATCAAGTCGAAATCAGATTATTAGTTACTAATTTACAAAATTAAAGTATAAAAAGTTGTAAAATGAAATTAAGGACGAAGTGTTACATGCGAAAAATTCAAGAATCATCATGTGATTTTGTTTTAATCAATGTGAAATAACCCAAAAAACACGTTAAGTGACTAACACTAGATTAATTTCAATTGTAAAACTTCTATTATATGATAACTAATTTCAAGTTTAAAATGTCAACCTCAATTTTGACATATTTGTAATCTTCATTACATACAAACACCACATATTTATCTTCAATATTAATGAAGTTATGGTCAACTTCCGGTTAAGAATGTCAACGTCAATTTTGATATATTTGTAATCGTCGTGAAAAATCCTTTAAAATGAGTCTAAACATGATACGTTTAATTCCAATATTACTCGAGATATAACCAACTTCCGGTTTGAAATGTCATTTTGACATATTGTTAATTTTTATAAAATGTGTTAAAATTTGTCACAAAAACAAACATATAATAAAAAAAAAATTAAGGTTGGTATTAATATTTAAAAATTAAATTGCTATCTTCATTGCGGCTAACTTCGGGTTTAATGTTTTTTATTCTAACTTGTTGGTTTTTTGAGATAAGTACGTCTTGTTTGGACTCATTTTATAGGTTTTTTAATGAAGATGACAAATATGTCAAAATTGACGTTGACGTTTCAAACCGGAAGTGATTGTATTTCCATTAATATTAAAGTTAAATATGCCGAGTTTGGACTCATTTTAAAGGATTTTTAATGAAGATTACAAATATGTCAAAATTGAGGTTGAAATTTCGAACTAGTGCAAAAACATATCGAATTCTGTGCACAATCAATAATTTTCAGCTTGTTGTTAATTAGTAACATTAATAACATAACCTAATAATAAATAAATTATTATTTATATCATAATGAATTTCAATTATGTATGAATTTATTAATCAAACATGGTTTAAAAACGAAATTAGAATTCTAACATTAACAGTACATTTTATAATAACAACTAAATCATTTTCTTTTAATTAAATTTATCTCTAATATTTAGAAATGTCTTCCGGTGGTTTATCCGTTGCAGTTCCCGGCGAACTAAAAGGTTATTGGGAGCTCCATAAAAAATACGGTAAACTCCCGTGGTCTCATCTAGTAAAGCCAACGATAAAACTCCTCCAAAGGGGAATTTACGTTAGCAATTATCTCTCAAAAATGATTAAAGCTTTAGAAAACGAAATCGTACGCTCCCCCAGTTTGAAGTTAGTAAGTTTCAAAAATTCAATTTCAATTCGAACCATCTTTTTTCCCATCGTTTCGTTTTAGAAAGATTTTTTTAAACAGACAAACAGGGAAACTTTACCAAGAAGGTGACGTCATGAATCGGCCGAGACTTGCAGAAACGCTCGCTAAAATCGCAGAAAAAGGCCCGAATGTGTTATATAACGGTCCATTAACGGATTGTTTTATTCAGGATATTCAAGACGCGGGTGGGGTAATTACAAAGGATGATTTAAAAAAATACAAACCTCGATGGATGAAACCGTTGTCGACAACAATCGCTACAGATTTCACCATTTATACAGTCCCATCTCCAGGAGCTGGTTCATTTCTTTTATTAATCACCGATTTAATGTCTCGAATGATTATTAATTGTTCTCCGGTGACGTTTTGGCACCGTTTAATCGAAGTGTGGAAGTTCGCTTATGGTTTAAAAACTCAACAATCCGGTCCGAATATGGCAATAAGAAATTTAGATGAGCATTGTTATAATTCAACGGTTACTCATTTTATTCGGTGTCGCATTAAAGATTCTTGTACAAGTAATGATCCAAGTAATTATTTTGGGGTTTATGAGCAACCCGAGGACCACGGAACTGCTCATATTAGTATTTTAGCACCGAATGGGGATGCAATTTCTGTTACAAGTACAATTAATTTGGTGTAATTAATGTAATTCTTAATTTTTCGAGTTTTAATCATTTTATGTTTTAGTTTCGGGGCTTTTTTTGCTTCACCATCAACCGGAATCATCTTAAACAACCAAATGATGGACTTTGCAATTCCTAATCGTCATCCGTGGAAAGCAAACCCATCGAATTATATTAAACCCCAACGCCAGCCAGTTTCAACGATGTGTCCAACGATTATTTTAAGCTCAATTGATAATTCCGTTAGGATGATTGTGGGGGCTTCTGGTGGATTTAAAATACTTTCGGCGACTTCTCTAGTGGTGATAAGACATCTACTTTTAGGGGAGTGCCTCGAAGAAGCCGTCGCGCAACCGAGATTACATCATCAATTGGTGCCGATGGAGATCGAATATGAATCGGGGTTTCCCCCGGCGATTTTAAAAGGGTTATCTCGCCGTGGGCATGTTATTAAGCAGTATAAAACGGATGTCCAATGTGCTGAAGGTTCGCTTAATATGCCGATTACTTCCGCTGTTAATGCCATCTCGGTTTGTAACGATAATATTGAGGCGATTGGTGATCGAAGACGACATGGTTATGGTGAAGGGTTCTGAAATTAAAAAAAAAATTAAATTAAGATTATTATTATATTATATTTATATAATTTTTACGGATAATTAAACAAAAACTAAATTAAAAAAGACAAATCTATGCAATTAATCTCGTTTTTAATTAACTAAACCAAGGTGATGGGATCAAAAAAATCAAACAAAAATGTACGTAATAAAATCCGTTTTGTTATTAACGTTACTTGTTGGATTTAATTCAATAACAACAATAAAATTAAACCCTTTTTTTTCAAAAAACACGTTACGGAAAAGTGACTAACACTAGATTAATTAATTAACTAACTTCAGGTTTAAAATGTCAACCTCAATTTTGACATATTTGTAATCTCCATTAAAAATCCTTTAAAATGAGTACAAACACGACATATTTATTTTCAATATTAATGGAGTTATGGTCAACTTCCGGTTAAGAATGTCAACGTCAATTTTGACATATTTGTCATCGTTGTGAAAAATCCTTTAAAATGAGTCCAAACATAATAGGTTTAATTTCAATATTACTCGAGATATAACCAACTTCCGGTTTGAAATGTCAATGTCATTTTGACATATTCTTAATTTTTATAAAATGTATTAAAATTTGTCACAAAAACAAAGATATAAAAAGAATCAAAAATTAAGGTTGGTATTAAAATTTAAAAATTAAATTGCTATCTTCATTGCGGCTAACTTCGGGTTTAATGCTTTTTATTCTAACTTTTCTGTTTTTTGAGATAAGTGTTAATCTTCATCTTTGGACTCATTTTAAAGGCTTTTTTTAATAAAGAATACATCATGGAAGGACACCATGAAGTTGCCCATTTGTCTATTATATGATAGCTAACTTCAGGTTTAAAAACGTCAACCTCAATTTTGACATATTTGTAATCTTCATTAAAAATCCTTTAAAATGAGTACAAACACGACATATTTATTTTTAATATTAACGAAGTTATGGTCAACTTCCGGTTAAGAATGTCAACGTCAATTTTGACATATTTGTCATCGTTGTGAAAAATCCTTTAAAATGAGTCCAAACATGATACGTTTAATTTCAATATTACTCGAGATATAACCAACTTCCGGTTTGAAATGTCAATGTCATTTTGACATATTCTTAATTTTTATGAAATGTCTTAATATTTGTCACAAAAACAAAGATATCATAAAAAGAATCAAAAATTAAGGTTGGTATTAATATTTAAAAATTAAATTGTTGCTAACTTCGGGTTTAATGCTTTTTATTCCAACTTTTCTGTTTTTTGAGATAAGTGTAAATCTTCATCTTTGGACTCATTTTAAAGGCTTTTTTTAATAAAGAATACATCATGGAAGGACACCATGAAGTTGCCCATTTGTCTATTATATGATAGCTAACTTCAGGTTTAAAAACGTCAACCTCAATTTTGACATATTTGTAATCTTCATTAAAAATCCTTTAAAATGAGTACAAACACGACATATTTATCTTCAATATTAATGAAGTTATGATCAACTTCCGGTTAAGAATGTCAACGTCAATTTTGACATATTTGTAATCGTCGTGAAAAATTCTTTAAAATAAGTCCAAACATGTTATATTTAATTCCAATATTAATCGAGATATAAGCAACTTCCGCTTGGAAATGTCAATATTGGTCACAAAATTGAATGAAGATGACAAATATGTCAAAATTGACGTTGACGTTTCAAACCGGAAGTGATTGTATTTCCATTAATATTAAAGCTAAATATGTCGAGTTTGGACTCATTTTAAAGGATTTTTTATGAAGTTGACAAATATGTCAAAATTAAAAGTTGAAAGTTCGAACTTTTTGGTTTTTTGAGATAAATGCGTCAAGTTTGGACTCACTTTAAAGGTTATTTTATGAAGATTACGAATATAATAACAAAATTAAAGTTGATATTAACAACTGAAAGATAGTCTAAACCCGAATGATTCTAGTTTTAAGTTAAAAAAATTAAATTAAGATTATTATTATATTATATTTATATTGATATTTATATAATTTTTACGGATAATTAAGCAAAAACTAAATTAAAAAAGACAAATCTATGCAATTAATCTCGTTTTTAATTAACTAAACCAACGTGATGGGATCAAAAAATCAGTCTTTCATTAAAATCAAACAAAAATGTACGTAATAAAATCCGTTTTGTTATTAACGTTACTTGTTGGATTTAATTCAATAACAACAATAAAATTAAACCCTTTTTCGCAAAACAAATATACAGTAACGTTCAATTACGGAGTAATTAAACATCAAGATTCCGAGTACATTTACGATTTGGAATTAAAAAACGTTATGGTTAATAAAACGAAAAAAGCTTTCAGTGTGATTTATTGTGTTAAACAAAAATTGGATGGGCCTAGTTTTAAAGTAAATTATTTACTAATTTATTGTTTTTATTTAATTATTCATTTCATTTTAGTTAAATATAAAAGCTTTGACGTTATCTTATAACATTCCGAGAGATGTTTTGTTTCAATTCGACGTAAAAGTTTGCGAAATGTTAAATAATAATTTTTTCGGGGCAAAAAATACTTTAAAAAGTGGAAATGGAACGACTTGTCCTATCGAGAAAGGGTGTTATAAGCAAGATAACTTTGTTTTGGATGAGAAGAAATTTCCCCCTTTCATCCCACCGAACGTGTATAGGCTCGATTTGAGTTATTTTTATTATAAAAAGGTTATTGTTGAAGCTCAAATTACGATTGAAGTTAAATATGGATTATGATTTAATATGATTCAACACTAAAATGGATTGTATTACAAAGTTACAAATTGTATGGTTCGATTAATTTTATACACGTTTGTTTTAAATTAAATGTTTTTTCTGAATAAAATAAAATTATCTATCTACAGGTGTCTCCGAAATGCGTGTACAACGGAAGACCACAGATTCCTTGGCTCAAAATAGGTCGATTTAAGCTAAGTTATCTATATCTTCAAGTTAGACTTCAAAGTTAGCAAAAAAATTCTTTTATTTTTTATAACTCGTAAATCAGTTGAAACCATTTTTCAGAAGTGAGTTCCTAGGTTCAATTAACGTGTTTTTATGGTATTCGATACAATTTTAGAAACACAGGAATGATGGAAAAGTCATGTATTCACCGAATATTTTTCCATTTTTTTTTTTCTGGCCAGGCGACAATTACATTATTATAGTTTTTGAATAGTCCATTTATTTCTAAACCGTTTTTGCCTCTTATAAGATTTTGATTACATAAGTGGTTAAGCCAGAAAAAAGGTATTTTTAAATATCTGCAAGCCTTGTTTACGTCATTGCAGTTACCAGAGGGGGCGCTACCACCCGGGCGCTGCTTAAAAGGGGGCGCCGGCGCCTTTTTAATGTTTTCTCCAACAATATCTTATCTTTCTTTTATAGTATTTAGACCTGTCAGCAGTATCTAGTCTTCAGAAAGCAGTATTTAATCTCCACAAAGCAATTTTAGTCTTTAGAAAGCAGTATTTAGTGTTCCAGACGCTGTATTTAGACCT